TCTGCCATGTGTTCCAAGCTTGTAAGTTCCTCTCCTGCCCTTTGATAATCATCTCCTTTTTCCTCTCTCGACCTCTTCTCCTTCTCCTGACCCCCTTCACCCTCCCCTCCTTCAAACCTTTCTTGTCCTCTAGCATTCCTTCTTCCTCCATTCATTCTCCCTTGTCCTTCCCTTGCTCCTCTTCTCCCTTTTCCTATCCTTTTTTTCACCTTCCCCTTTTCCGTGCCTGGCGCTAAAATGTCAACTCTCATTCTCACATCTTGCTTTTATACCACAAGTGTTCATAAATCCTCCAGTATGCAATTCAAAGGTTTTGACTGTCAAGTTTGGGTTTCTCATTCAGGAACGTAACAAGAGAGGTCTCGAGGAAGACATTGCTATCTCTCGTGTTGAGCAGGTAATACAGCATAATTAGCATAATTGTGACTTCCTTTCAGCATAACACTCCAAATAGAATCCAAACAAAAATCAAATGTATTGGCTTTACACTTACTTGTGAATGATTCTCAAATGGGTAGGCAGCTGAACTTGTGCATATTAGTGATCCCAAAAACAGTTGGGTTTTTATGTTATTGTTCCTTAATATAAGATTTGACAACATAAGTTATTAATGTTCACCCGCCATGCAGATATGTCAAGGGCAAAGTGAAGAAAAGGCAGCAAAACCAAATCTTAGACGAGAAATCAAAGAAAACTGTTGATCAGGACTGCTACATTGCATTCAGTTATAAGAATTTAAACATATTAATACATTTTACCTGGACAAACAGTTCACATTTTGTGAAAACACTCGCCACAATGGTCCTTCAAGCAAAAGGTTTCGTGAAGTGTAAGTGACAAAGAAATGGTTTGAGGAGGAACTAACAATATTGAAATTACAAACAACCAATCCCTCAACAGCAGTTATGAACAGTAGGCATGAAGGTTACTGCCTCGGTTACATCCTTAACAGTTTACTGTTAACCTTGCTCTGGAGTTTCTGTTTGTGTTCTTAACTCTCTGTGTGTGGAGTGATTGCATGGTTTGAAATTTAATTGCTAACTGTAGCTGATCCAATAACTGGGTGTTTTGCATCCAAATGTTTGCTTACCTATAAGAGAATATTAGCTGTCATTTATTTTGCAGGAAAACTGACATTGGTTTGTGAATATCATTGTATTTGGTGTTGAGGTAGCAGTACCAGACAAAAAAGGAATTATGATGCATGATTTCACAAGGCCAATGCTTCATTCAAGCCTTAAATTTTACCTCTGAATGAATCAAAATAACCGGTTTCGTGTAATTTTGTTAATGTCTCCATTAAAGATGACTTGACTTGACCTGACTTGACTTGACTTGACTTGACTATGTGTGTTAAATACCACTCATCCAGTTCTTCAAATCTTTGTCAAATGCATGTTATAATAATACCATGGCAAATTCAAAGCTGCAGGCAAAAGCCTCCTGGACTAATCACTGATGCCTAACTAATGATGTTATATACATGTTTACAAATTATGTAGTACCTACTTACTTAGTGAATTAAACATTTTAAAGTTACAAGATTTTATAAACCCAAAATGTTAAAATGTGCATTTTTTCCTATGCACAGCATAGACTCCAACCCTTACAATGTATAATACAGTGAAACCTCTATTATGGGAACCCTCAATTAAGCGTACACCCTCTATTAAGCAGACACTTGGGAAGGTGCCGAGGGTTTCCACTTAAAGGTTTCACTTTACTAATGAAAGCAGTGAAATCCTGTGTGCATAATGGTCACATTTGTGTTTTTGATTATGTCATTATGATTTTCAAGTTTCCTCTACAAAATGATAAAAGCAACATAATCTTAGTCACGGACATAATCGAAATCAGAAGAAAGTGACCATGAATTTTCTTGTGATAATGATTACATTGATCATAAGGTGCTTTTGACCATGTTTCTAGACGTTGGCACTGAGACATAAGCAAGATGAGGGAGTTATGTTCAAGCTTACAATTATAATTGCACTCTATGTTCATTATGGCGCTAGTCTGGATTGTTGAAAAGGTGGATAACGCTATCTTACAGATACATCACTATCCAGTATGTCTAGTGCGTAGTGTGGTTTGTTTTGTGAACACTTATCCACTGGAAAGCAATTTATCCTGTGGATAGTGTTATCCAGCCTTCAAACAACTGGGGGTCTGGTGAGTACTAATTGTACGTGGACACCCTCTTTTAAGCAGACACCAGGGAGGGTCCTGAAGGTATGGACCACTTAGCAGAGGTTTCACTGTATTTGAATTCAAGGTTAATTTTACAGTCAGTTGAAGCCTGAGAGCTTGTCTACACTTTGGATACACATCATGGTTTTAGTACTGACTGTTTTTCCTTATTTCAGATAAGCCCATTCCCTCTAGACTTAATAAGGGCTGAGCACCAAAAGTATGACAATGCAGAGATTGTGTGGGCGCAAGAAGAGCCCCAGAACATGGGGTACTGGACTTATGTTCAGCCACGCCTTGTAACCTCTGTTGGAAACAAAGTTAAGATCAGGTACAGTGAACATATTTTGGATTTTGATTATTTTATTGTGCATTTATTTAACCCTGGCCACTTAGATGTTGAAAATCTATCAATATTGCAGAACAGAATAGGGAATTCTGATTAATGCTATTCCAAGTTAAAATGCTCTATTGCACTTAACACTGTTTGGTCAGCTGAATTCTGAGTTCTTTGTTTCCATTCCACGACATGGTTTGGCTGTCATTGCTGAAATGGTCCATGTCAGAAAGTCCTACTGTAAGGACTTGTTCACTTGTTCAAGCACTACACCTTTTAAAGCCATGGCCAAACAGAATCGAAAGTTGAAAACTTGGGTCTACTTGTGACTCCATTTGGCCAGGCCTTGTGAGCACTTGCGATGACTTGCACTCACTTTGGTTGAGATCAAATTTGCACATTTCTACATTTGGCCACCCAACCCAAGTCAACACAAGTTGAGTGATGTCCATTAACCTACTACTAGCCAATAAAATACAGGATATATCTGCCTTGGAATGGGTTTTTTGTACCTTGCATGTACTTGCAAGCCAGGAAACTTGCGAGTCTGTTTGGCCACCCAATGCAAGTCTCTAAGCAAGATCAACTTGCAGTTACTTGTGACTACTTGCGAGTTCATTTGGCCAGGGCTAAATGCTTCACTTTTTTTCTTTCGGCAGCTATGCTGGTCGCCCGCCATCTGCATCAACTGCAACTGGCAACAAGCATCACCACAATTCCGAACAAGAAGACCTCATAAACCAAGCTTTGGATTAAATGTTCATGACACCATATTGAAATATTGAAAGTAAAACTGACAGCTACAATTGATATAAAATAGAGACACACAATGGTCAACCTTAGTTTTACTTGGCCAGTCGTTTTTTCCTTTTATATTTAACTTCAGCATATGATACTATAATTTGATCAATTGTTTTTCTACAAACTGAGAAATACTACATAACAATAGGGAATTTTATTGGAGGAGTGAAAGAATAGTAAATGTATAGACTAAAAGCAAGACTATGGTCCTTGAACTACACTAGCCTGTGAAGTGTAATCCCACTATTTTACTTCAAAGAAATCAAATAATTTCAAAGTTATTAGCCTGTATAACACCTTCACATGGCTGACCAGTGAATCAAAATCAATATTATTCTGCAGATTAGGGAAATAGCATTTTTTATTTTCATGAAATGATATCTGTAAAATGCACTAAATAAATAAAAGAATTCTTTGATAGCTTTGTCCTCCCTCATGCTGAAGTCTCTCTATGTAACAGTGCATCCCAGAGGGATTTGCTCGTGTCACAAAACTTTATCTGAAAAAATGGGTGTCAGTTTTTCATGCATCTGTCCTGTTATTGATCATGAATTTCATCATAACTGATAATGTTGTCAAAGTAGCTTTGGATTCACAAGGCGATAGCTGAGTGGATCTGCAGACTACTTTGACAATGTTATGACAAAATTCAAACACATGAAAATTTGACGTCAAATTGTTTTTTTTTGAAAAAGAAATTATCACATAAATTATGAAATCGCGTGTTTGTCCACTTATTGACAATGCAAATTAGCCAACGACCATGCAAGAATTTCTGCAGTTATTGTAAAACATCCAACTGAACTTCATGGGTCATTGTTGAGGTTGAAACATCACGTCAACACCATCACAATAAACAAAAACAGAATGTTGTGAATGCATCAGATTCAAAGCAACAACACCCAACAGGTAGCAAACAAAGGAAAACAAACAACCCACGACCCAACTTATTACCCAACTTGAATGACTATTTTTCTCCGTAATAACTACGAAAGAACACAAGAACACAAAAAAATACTTAATGTTTTTTTTTTTTTAATTTTCTATTAATAAGTACTTGAGGAAACTTCTTTGTACAATCTCTCAAGCCTGGTTCACACTAGCAACATAACATCGTCACGAACAACATAAAAAGGTTATCTCAATTAACATAAAAAGGACGTCATGTTTGTAGACAAGTGTGAACATGTAGACATAATGACATTAGCAACAACAGCACGAAGATTACGACATAAAGATAAAACTGATCTTTTCCTTATGTCGTCATGTTGATGTTGTTCTGTTATGTCACTAGTGTGAACCAGGCTTTACTGTCCTTTCTTTGATGCACTGCTGTGAAATAATGCTGGGTATATATCTTATTCAACCTTGAACTCTCCATACATAATAACTGGAATTTGACAAATGAACATTTCTTCTGTAGATAATGCTTGGGCTTAACGTAGTATGAAAATAGTAATTGTTATATTTTTTTTAATTTTTTTTGTCCATTTATTTTTTCTGACACTTTAAAACTACAGAAAATGCTAAGCATGCATTTTTTTTTTTTTACAAAATATTAGTCAATAAGCTTTGTTTACAGCTGCAAGGGCTTCTTTACATATTGGATCCAGTTTTCCATCACCTCCTAAAACAAAACAAAAATTCTACTTGATAAGATTGTTGTAAGTGCTGTGATAACCCAAGTCTTGGCAAGACTAATAAAGTAAATGAAGGAGAGCCTTCAGTTAATAATTTAATTTTTCAGTACCACACATCGTGAGTGATGTAATGTGTTATATAACAATGCAAATTCTGGGTGAGTGTCCTGTAAAAATGTACCAAAAAATTAATTTGAAACTTGCCCAAAAGGACTGACATCTGGGCAGGTAGTGCTAACATACCTCTGATGTCACTTCATGCACCCTAGAGACTACAGAATTTGTTACCCTGCGAGACTGAGATTCCCCTGGAGAGTGAAAGAAATCTCTGCCTTGCAAGGTAACTATTTCTGGGCTTGAAGATTTGTATCCCTGCTGTAGGTTGAATTTTAATTGCTTATTTTTTCTCTCTTTTAGTTTCTCTTGATTCTTTCATTTGTTTTATCAATAGACCATTGTTTTTATTGTTGTCTGTTCAGTGACCTGGGGCCAAAATGGTCGAAGGTCCCAAAAAGTTTGGCACCCAGAAAGCCATAGCAAAATCTTGAACCTTATGATTACAAAGCCGTTTTATTCACGTATTCTTAATATGAACAAAGGTTCCGTTGATACAAAAAGTTTCAGGCTTATACACTTTTCCGCTTTTAGATACAGATGAACTAAAAATGGCTTTACAGGCCCGAAAAGTTTCCGGGGCTTTCGAGAAACTGGCCCCTGGCCTTTGAATGGCAGCGAGGCTGGAGTTGACCTTGTTTTGATACAGACCTCACTGCTTTTTTTGTGTAACTCAAGTTGTTGTTATGCTCACTATTTGGCATTTAAATGAGAAAAACAGAGAGGTTTGTATCAAAGCAAGGCCACCTGTAGCTTTGGTTGCATTCAAAGGCCAGGTAACCAAGCACAACTGTAAAATGGCTCATTCATTCATTCTTAGTTCTTTATTTCTTCATTATTTTTTTAACAGTTTCATTTTGCTGTGTAAACTATTTCAGTCAGTGGCATAATTAGATTTGAGTTAAACTTCTAGTAAACTCACCGTATTGCAGATCCTGAATTTTGCAGCGATAAATTATTTCTCCATGAACCACCAACTCAACATCGTCCCTATCTGGTGTCTTCATAAATTCTACTGTGTGACCCTCACTTCTCAAAAGTGCTGTAGAAAAATCAATTTATATCAGCACAGGGGGTTAATTTTGACTTACCTTGCCAGTGAGAAGAGGATAGATAGATAGATAATGGAATTGGTCCTCTGAGGTATTTGGTCTTAGGGGCAATGACCAAACATACATAATGAGTTTTTTTTTATGCCTACAAATTATAAACTGTGGAATAATTCCCTTGTTAATGTGAAGGCATCAGAGAAGAACCAGGAATTCTAAGACTACAACTTACCAAATGAAACAGTCTCGCCTTTTGGAAAACTAATATGTCATCACCCTCCCCACCCCCAACCCATTCAATACATTGCAGCAGTTACATGCAGCTCGTTGCTTCACTCGAAATTGTACAAGTTTCCAGGCATTAACACCCAAGCCATGCCCATATTTTAAATACAGGTGGATGTGCATGCAACTATTAGTCTGACAAGTGATCATGAAGGAATATGGAATGTTTAAGCCGAGTTTTTATTTTCTCGGCGAAAGCAAAGGCTGTTTAGTATCTCACTAACTGCTTACCTTGAAGTCCCTCCAATCTGGCAGTTCGATGCTCTAATATTCCACACGACATATAAGGGCCAAAATTTACCGTGACTTTATGTTTCACCATATTTGTGACTGGAGAATGGCGGAGTTGTTTATGTTAGCAACGAATTAAGCCGCCATCTTGATCGATACAGCAAACTATCGTAGTTTATCGTTGGTTGACAATCGACCAATGAGAAAGTACGTTAGCTTGCGCCTGAAAGTGTTACTTTCGCGCCATTGGGATGAATGGATGAATGCGCTTTCGAGTTCTTTGTGCATCATATCAACACAGTTAATTTGGCCGAGAAGGAGAAGTGAATTAAGAGATTATTTCAGCTGTTCAGGTATTGTAAACATGACATTTCAAATGATAATTGCGCTTGGCTTCTCATTTTAGATTTCCAGGAGAAAATTGGGAAACCAGTCGAGTGCATGATGCATGTAGCTTTCGTCAGGCCAGGATTTCCAATTTTGCCTTTGTTTTTGCTTTGTCTACTCTTAATCAAGCTTTTGGTAATTTTAATTTATATGGAGAAACTGTTTACTAAAGGCTTGTAAATCATAACAAAGCATGTTAAGCGCTGAGACAGGTTTCTCTCAATTCATCTGTAGAAGGTTCTTGATACCATTTTGAGATCTTTCACAATGGAATCGATTATCAGAGATCACTTCATCTGTCCAGGTACTAACCAGTTCAAAGCAAAATCTGTTGGGATGCTGAACTGGCTATGCCGCCCACGGAATCGAAATCTATCAAATGTATGATTTCTAAACTCTTGATTTTTGTCAAACTTGTTTAAAAACAATAACATAATCTAATGGATTTACTTCAATTTTTTCGATTGGTTCGGAAATGAAATTCACATATGAATCAAACTCAATTCACGGATTGAGTTTGAGTTTGATTTCTGAATGTTTGATAGACTATATATGCCAGGACTATTGGCCTGGTGTTTTTTGGAGGTCTTGCTGTCCTTTCAAATGATGTAATTGTATATACTTTCTTTTTTTCATTGTGGCAAATAATGTGATGATAATGATGATGATGATGATGATGATGATGATGATGATTTCCCCTGGAAAGGATAAGCTACTTGAGGCGCTTAAAATGAAGAAATTCTTGTCTCTGAAATAGTAAATCACCATGAAGTGAATGAATCATTGATCTTATCAATGCAATTTTTCCCAGGTAATTTATGGAGACTTGCATGCAGTGACGAACAGGATCCTTTGCAGAAATTATATGGTCTGAAAAAGTAATCAACATGCAACAGCCAAATCGTTCTACCTCAACAGTGACTGGTGTTCCCAGTGTTGCAAGCGAAGTAAGTAACTCATCTTCTGACACAGAATCTGGTCAGAGGTTTGAAGACAATCTTGCTACTTTGTCTGAAATGTTTCCAGCGTATGACGTTGCTACCTTAAGGAATTACCTGGAGAGTTTCCATGACAACCCCAACTGTATGCCAATAATTGTTAGCATGCTTCTGGAAGGGGACTGTACACCAGGTGTGAATTTCGGGCAAAATTCAACACAACAACAGTGTGGATTGAAACACAAGGCAGATGCTTCTACTGTTGAAGATAGCTTGCACAATGAGGATCAAGTTGCAACACCCTCTCCAAGCAAAGTGAAAAGAGGTGGCATCTGCAGAAATGGAGCTAAGTGTTCAAGCTCAGCTGATGTTTTGAGAGAAGCAGAGGAACTCAAAAGTAAAGCTAACATATTAAGCAGTACCACAAGGGAAAAATCAAGTCCTTTGAGATCACATTCCATTAAGAAAGAAAAGCCACGGTCAAGTAACCTTAACAGAAGCAAAACTGGCTCTTTGAGATCACCTGAGCATTTTGCGAGTGAAACAACATCCAATGTTGACAAAGAAGATGACTTAGTCTTTGTCAAAAGTGTAGCAAACAGTCCAAAACAGTCATTTTATCGCACTAAACAGTCTAACCCAGGAACCACTTCACCCAAGCAACATCATGGGATTTGTATTCGCTATAAGGGAGGAAATCTCCATCCTTCTATGAATAAACCTAAAAAGTTACAAATAGTAAAAATTAATGCTGATGGAGAAAATACCCCTCATTGTGACCAGTCAGCATTGAAAAGACCACTTCAGCTTTCAACAGATATTCACTGCAGAAGTTCAGATACGTGCTCTGGGACAGTTGCCATGGCAGCCAATGGCAAGGGTAACAATCACAGCCCACTCAAACCTTATACAAGTACAGGGTGTTCTGCATCCAAGGAGAAAGCAACAGAAAATCCTTCAGCAGAAAATGCACAGGAATGCCCAGTATCTACAGAATGCAAGCAGATGGAAGAGGTAACTCAATCTAGCAATACAAGTAGCGAGGGTGCTTTACCTGTAGCAGCAGCTCTAAGTGATCTTGAGATTTTAAAGAAGGTATTCCCAGATGCCGACCCCACCTACATCAGTTCACTTTTGGACAAGTATGCAGGTGAACCTAACCAGGTAGCCCTGGTGGGTAAAGAGCTAGGAAGTAGCTCTGTCCCTCTGCATGGGAAAAACATGAAAAAGAAGGCTATTCCACCAGTGACTTGGTTCTGGGAATCAGAAAGTGACAAGCTGGTTCCATTTACAGATTCTGAATGTAAAGCTCTGGAGAAAAAATTCAATTCCTGTGACACACAGGATCAATCTAGCCATGCAGGTGTCAAGGCTATAAGGTTGCCTGGATCAACCAAACATTTCAAGGTAAATTTTGGCCAGATGATAATGGTTTGTGAAAGTGGTCAGAAAACTCCAATCATTAGAGTTCCTGGTGGCAGCAACGAAAGGAAAGAAATAGGGTAAGTCTGCTTTTGACTTCTTGGTGGCTGATTTTGTACTTACTGAGTCCAATTATATTAGCTAGGGGTGTTTTGTTGAAGGAAAATAAATATATTTTGGGTAGCAAGAAACTTTCCAATAAATCTATGTTATGACATTTAAATTTCACTCTAATATGACTTAACACAGTTATAGGCTCGCAAGCCTGATTATATAAATATCTTTCGAACATTAAAAGACCTGAAGACTTGAAAGTGAAGAATGATCATGGCAGTAAATTTTCCAATTATAAAGTGCCTATGAAGTAATAAAATAATTGCTGCTTATTTGAAAGGCTTTTCAAAGTAAAGAAGAATGGCATTTTCCATTTTGGAATATGTTTTTTCGTTTTAGAGATATTCACGTTTTTGTATTATGCAAATGAGCAAAGTGATGACATCATAGGTGGTTCCACTAAAACAGCACAACACTCAATCTAGAATAACTCTAAAAATATTAAAGCAGTGTTCTTCAAACTTGGCACCAGCAATGTACATCACAAAAGAAACAGAA